TAAAACTTTTTTATTGCTTTCCTTTTAATATGCTTAAAGGGCAATTGTGTGATGAAGCACTTACTGTCATTTAAAGAAATCCTTTTGATCTCCGTGTTAAAAACGAGGAAACTTTTGCTTGGTAGTTGGGAGACTTGGGCAAGCATTTAACTTTTCTAAACCTGTATCCCTATAGAAAATGGCACAGTAATCCCTCATTCATGGGTATGTTGAAAAATTAGGTTGGAGATTGCATGTAAAACACTGGACATAGCTCCCAGTGCACGGGTGTTTATCAAATGTGAATTTTTCTTTTCTTTTTATTGGTATTATAGATATTGTGGTGTGATTTTCTGCTGTCCTCTGAATCAGTGATATATCCATAATCATTGGAAGATAGTGTACTTTACAGGGACAGATGATGTTTTGTCTAGGTTCAAGAAATAAAATGTTTTTATCATCTGTATGTTCTTATCTTTATAGGTCATCGGAACTTTCAGAGGTCATGCCATCCCTGGATCCTTCTTACTTATTTTGGGCCTTTGGTGGAGTACAAAGAGTATTCTGAAATATGTCTGCAAAAAGCAAAAGCAGACCTGCTACCTTGGTTCCAAAGCATTGTTCCATCGAGTAGACCTTTTGGAAGGAACTATAGTTGTTGGCATGGCTTTAATTGGTGAGTGGACCATTTCTGTGTCCTGTTTTCTCCTTTGGGGATTTTTACATACAAAGAAAAGATACAATATGAAGTGAAGACATTTCTGAAATGGATTTTTTAAGAAAGACACTTGCATCTGAATGTGCATAGCACCACAATTCCCAATCACAAAGATGTGGAAACAACCCCAGTACCCATCAGTACATGGGTGGATTAATAAGTTATGGTATAAATATACCATGAAATACTATTCAGCCATAAAAAGATGGAGATTTAGTATCTTTTGTAACAACCTGGATGGAACTGGAGACTATTCTCCTAAGTATCACAAGAATGGAAAAATAATACTAAATTGGAACCAGTTGATCAATACTTCTATGCTCATATGAAAGCAAATCTCAGTGAAATCTCAGTTGGGGTGGAGATTTCTCCAAATCTCAGTTGGGGGAGGAAGGGATGGGTAAATTTCTATTCAACAGATACATTATACCAGTACATTGGGCGCTTTCTGGGTGAAATACACACCTATAACTCTGGCTCTAAATATACAAAAGTAAATTATATAATCAAAATGGATATATCCCATAATATTCTGAAATTAAAAAAATACAAAATTTATTCTCTGACTACAGCAGGATTAATTTTTAAAAACATATTTTTTTAAATTAAAAAATAACTCTTAACATAGCAATCCCCAACCTTTTTGGCACAAGAGAACGGTTAGTTTCATGGAAGATAATTTTTCCCAGGGACTGGGGGCCATAGGACGTAGAGAGTTTCAGGATAATTCAAGCACATTACATTTACTGTGTACTTTGTTTCTGTCACTATTACAGTGTAATATATAATGGAACAGTTACACAATTCACCATAATGCCAAATCAGTGGGAGCCCTGAGCTTGCTTTACTGTAACTGCACAGTCCTTTCTGGGGGTGATGGGAGTCAGTGACATCTGAAGTGCATTGTGAACAGTCTACTCTGTAGTTTCATTTTGCTTGCTGTCACTATAGAAGACCCTGGTTCACAAAGATAGAAGGTTGGGAATGGAAGCAGGCTTTCAGTGCTTTTGTGGCAATCTCAGCACAAAATTCTTCTAGCATGGACAGAGTTGGTTCACCTGGTTGATTCACAAATGGCTTGCAGACCCGTTCTTTCCCGGTTTGGGGTCTTTTGTGGTTGGGAAGTGATGCTCAGACTCTTTTGAAAGCTGAGATAGGTGATCATGTACCAACTGGGAGAAAGAAGACCCTAGCTCAGTTTCTTTAAAAATCTCTGCTAATGTTTGAATGTCAAAAAGTCCCAATGCTCCCTTGTCATCCCATAATTCTAGTTGGGCTTTGAATGCAGCCACTTCATCTGCTGACTTGAACACAGTTCTTGCTCTCGCCTGAAGTGGCAGACTGAGTTTGTTGAGCAGGTTGAATATGTCACACAAGTCAGCAAGAGAGATGACTCATTCTGTGTCATTGAAATGTGCTGCCAGTGGTGACTGTTTCTCTGAAAGAAACCTCTGAGGCAGCTCTCATAACTCAAAGACTCTGCTCAATGATCTCCCTTTAGAAAGCCACCTCGTTCTGTGTATAAGAGAAGACACGTGTGCTCTGTGTCCATCTCCTCACAGAGCTGCACAAACAGATGTACATTAAGGGTGTATACTTTAATGTGGTTGGTAATTTTAATCACATCTTGCAAAATGTTTGTTTAGTTCGGGTGACATTTTTCGGTTAGGTAGCGTTTCTCTATGGATGACACAGTGCATAGACTCACATTCAGAAGCAACCTTCTTGCCCCAAGGAGTGAAACCAGAAAGCTGTCCAGTCGTGGCAGCTGCCCAGTTCAGTTACTAACACAAAATGACCAATTCAGTTTTTCTGATTTGTACTCATTCAAAGAGTCAAATGCTTCTGAAGCTGTGGTGTTGGTTAGCACCAAAAGTACACACGCCATATCCTCATGCACATCCTTCCAAACAATATATTGCATGAAAACAAGCACTGTTGCCTTGTCAACATTAATTCTCTCTAATACCAAGTGTCAGTATCCTCTGCTATTTCATCAGTTTGTCTAGTTATGGTGCTGGCTGAAAGAGGAACATGTGCCACCTTTTTCCTAAATTCACAACAAATGCTCTTAGCAGCAGGCAGGATCAGCTCTTCACCAGTAGTGAGGAGCTTCTCAGCTTTAGCAATCAGTTAGCCAGGATGACACTGTCAGTGCAGACCCATTTGAAGAAGTAGTGGCCTTCAATAGTTGCTTCTGTGCCTTGTGTTTACATTTTTTTTCTTTTGAAAAATACCAGAGGCTTTTCTTTTAATGGAGTGTGCTTGCTCTCATGTGGTAAAGCAGTTTCGAAGGTTTTATGGCTTCATTGAATAGCTGGTTACCATGAACTATACAAAGTAGGCCTGGAGAATCTGAATCACCTGTTGAAATGAACCAGTTATTTAAGTAGGACTCCTTGGTGTTTTAAGTACAGTTTTTATCTTGTTGGCCATCCCAGAGTCTTCTGCTGTCTTATCATTGTGTTTTTCCCCCGTTCAAAGAAGCTCTCCAGTGACGTTTGGTTTTTACTCATTTTTGTGTTAGGGTTAACTTGTGGGTTTACCAAAACTGTGACTGAGATGAGTGTGCAGTGTGGGAAAGAGGCATAGATGAAAGTGGTAAATAAAATAATGGGTGGGCTAAGCCTGGGCTGAAATAAGTGCCAGATTCTGACTTAAAGCCTGCCACAGATGCATCTCAATTGTCAGTTGTCACTCACTGATAGGGTTTGGATATGAGTACGTGAGCAGTTGATTTATTGTGGTCTCTGCGTTCTCAAGCCTCTCTGCTAATGATAGTCTGTATTTCCAGCTGCTCCCCAGTGCTAGCATAACCACCTCAGCTCCACCTCAGATCATCAGGCCTTAGATTCTCATAAGGAGCACACAGCCTAGATCCCTCACATGTGCATTGACAGTAGACTTCTCAGTCCTATGAAAATCTAGTGCTGCACAACCTTCCAAACAATATATTACATGAAAACGATATCAACAAACTGATCTGAGAGGAGGCGGAGCTCAGGTGATGATGTGAGTGGTGGGGAGCAGTAGTAAATACAGAAGAGGCTCTTTCACTTGCCTACTGCTCATCTCCTGCTGGGGGCCTGGTTGCTAACAGGCTACAGACCAATACCAATACCAATACCAGTCCATGGCCTACATTCTTAACACATTCTAATTATAATTTCTTTTTTTAAAATTTTGAATTAATATGAGGATACATACTACTAGGTTACATTATTTGTGTTTGTAAGGTAAAGGCCAAAGTCTGAGTTGTAGCTGAGTCCTTCACCCAGGAAGTGTGCAGCACACCCCTACATTGTACC